ACTCCAGTAACTTTGATGCTCGAAATGTTTGCAACATCATGGAAAGGAATGGTTCAACATCAGGTTCATAACCACACAAGAGCATTTCCTTGAGAATGTTAGTATTCTCTCCAGGAGACATTAACTCCAGAGCCTCCTGTGCCTTTAAAGGATCTGTTAGGATAGCATTCAGTTGATCAACTACCTCTCTTTGTTTTTTCTCAAAAGCATGATCTGGAACTCCAAGAGTAGATAAGAGAGTGATCAACTGGCGATTCAGAAAACAAGGTTGATACTTACTCCAAGCCAAGACATCCAGTTTTGTGTTCTCTGATTCATACTTTGACATGCTCCCTCTAAGGGATAATTTCTTTGATGAGGTGGGGTCAACAGCCACAACACCTTTGAATCCACCAATCCGAATCTGAAATGCTGAAGGAGTGCAACCATTCAAGCGACATTTCGCGGCCACCTTCTTGGCAAATTTAGCCGATATTTTTCCAATTCCATCAGAAAAGACATACTTAATTCTATCCCTTTTAATTTCTACATCATCAATAATTTCGATTTCATCTTTAGCAACACTGAGAGTTTCGGTTGATGAACTGAAAGATTGGCCCAGTCTAGCAGCATACTTTGCCACATTTCTTATTTTACTAAAATCTCCCATCCATGCCCTTATATCTGCTGCAGTGAGCCCTTCTCTTGCAGCAAACATCCATGCTGAATTTTCCCGTAATTGACTTGATGAAAAGGCAAGAAATTCAAATCTCTTATCACCAATGACTATGCCATTTTTAAGAGTAGAAAGAATCCTTCCATAAATTTCAGTTCTCCTACCCCTCGTCAACAAATCTGTGGAATGGATCTTTTCCAACTCCTCATCAACAAAAGTGATGCGAAGAAAATTATCAATATCATCATGAAAATGGCGTAGCACACGATTTGAAACATTAATCTCAGGACCAGAGAAATACACCCTAGAAGGTGTTATCTGAACCCTTCTTACGTTTACCAAACCATCATCTAAGGATATAACAGGTGACCCTGGGTTTTTCTTAGATGCGATGTAACTTTTGTACTGCTCAAGGAGCCACCTTGAAGGTTCAAAGCAGCATTCTTTAAGATAATAAAGTTTCTCCAGAGCATGGTCGATATAGACTTTGTCTATTCGACGTGGATTAACCAATCGGTAAAAAGTAGCATCAAGTGCTGGTCCTGGGATACACCCATTTTGGACCAACAAATTAATCTTAAACAAGATTTCATATGGCAAGTCAATTCCCAGCGGAGGGCCTACAATTGGGACTAGATTAACATTACGGGAATAAGAAGAACCACTTTCCAAAACAAATTTCCCTTCACTTTCCTTGTAGTAAGCAAAGTTCTCTCGGAAATTTGGAAGTTGCAGGTAGTAAGGAAGCTCCAAACACAATACAGAAGACTGCCCAATACAGGATGATTGAGTGAAATCAGTTGTCCTTACCCATTGATCATCAGGCACATCCATAAAATAGTTAAGCGAGGGATCCTCAAACACAAGTCCAGAAGAGCGTACATCTTTCTCATATATCCGAGGAGCGCCAAATAACTAAAAATTACCAAAAAAAAAACACACAGAGAACTATAATAAGCATTTTTCATATATAAGAGTTAAGCATAGCAGAGGATAAAACTTTGGGAAATGGTATTTTCCAGCATCAATAGAATAGCTTAAATTTCTTGCAATGGAAAAGCTAATTCCTCGTGTTTGTCTCTGTGTAGTCTATCAAAGACCTTGCACAAGCCAAGTTTCAGAAGACAACATTTAATTCATCTGTAAATCACCATTTTGAACTGCCTGTTCCAGACTTTAAAGTACATATAGGCTGATCTGTAGTCTTTCTCAAATACATATATACTGATCCCAACCATTTTCTTATTTGCATAAATTCTCAATTGCAAAATATAGCTCATCTTTAATACAAGTGGCGTTTGTTACTTAGAGTGAAGAATCCCATCGAAATCCCCTTTGAACAACCTTAATTAAGAGAGAATATGAGTTTTCTAAATTATCTATTTCAGATCATATAGATCCATAATTTTATGTACATCAAAGTTACCCTAGAAGATCATAGAATTACTCTCAGATAAGTTTTTTAAAGTCACCAACATGTAGCAATGTTTTGATGGTTTTAAAAAGTATAAGTTGTCATATAATGGAAATAAATTTGTATTTCTCAAAAAGCAAGGCAAGAGTAGTGCCAAATCATTAACTTATCCACAAGTCCATAATGACTCTGAAGTAATGGGATGTGTCACCCTTCAAAGAAAAAACTTTCTATTCCCCTATATCAGCAGTAATGACAAACACTATACAATTTTTATGGAAATAACGTCGACAGCCATTTAGCAAGTTCACATTCAAATCATTTCATGGTAGACTAGAAATCAGCAAAACAAAAGTGACATACACTGCTAAGGACAGTAAAATTATTCAACCTGATACATCAAAGCAATTATGATATGTTGAAATATTATTTCTAGGTACCTAATGTAATACCATAGAGACTAACGATGAATTTATAGTCAAAATTTAACAAAGCAACCTGAATCAGAAGGTACTTTGATGTTCGATTGCGCGGACGATGCAGCTCAATCTGCCAGATGTTCTCATAGAAAAGATCCAGCCTGTATTCTACCGAGTGATGTGACAGTAAAAATTGGAATTTCCGCATTCCCATCCCAAAATTCACCACAACATCAACCTCTTCCCAGAGAACATAAAATTTTTCATTTGAGACTTGACAACCAAAATGCAATGTCACATCTCCCATGGTATGCAAAAAGGTTCTTGGCTTTGGCACAATATCATTCTCCATTTCTCGAGACTTGAGATATGAACTCCCATAGTATAGTCTTTGATTCGTCAACCTTATGATCAGCTCAGCATCTGTGCTTTTGGTAAATTGCACAATAGCATATGCTCTTCCTCCCTTTTTTTGCTGCCTAATTTTTAGAGCATAAACAGTTTCCTTGCCTGTATACAACTCCAAAAATGATTTAACTTCCTCTGCATGCACACTTGAGGGGAATCCAGAAACTTGAATTGTCTTACCCATGGAATCAATTTTCTTTATGCTCTTACCACTTTAAAACATAAAAGTCACCGCAAAAACCAGAGACCAATATTTATATAAATACTGCAAAATGCACCAAGATAGGGGACAAATTGAGCAGACTTTAACTGAAACAGTCAAGCTTTCAAACCAAAAAAGAAAGAAAGAAGCAACTAAAATTCTATGTATTTTTACAAGTAGTAGTAGAAGATGCATTTAATAGCACAGATATCTGGCGATTTTTATATTAACGCCCTGCATGATGAGGATCTGCGTTCCCTCTGCCCAAACAACACAAAATATTTGCAATGCTGCATGATCCAACATCACCAGAGATTCCTGTTTATTTGCAAAATACTCTTAAATACAGGTAGTCACTGAGCAAAAATATATTAGTCCCATCCAAATACAATATCAGTCCCGTCCTAAAGGGTAACTGGTTCACTCCTTTTTTCATGTGTTCAATAGTTTTAGAGAGTACCGTGTATAAAACTACATGTTTGTCTAATCATTGATCAATTTTACCTCCTTAAAGAGCATATAATCTCACAACCGCCGCCATATAAAAATAAATTTCCATATCAGTTTACTCCAGGTTAAACCATTTATATCAAGTATTTGAACAAGTTATAAACTATGAACAAAGGATAAATTGAATATTAATATTATATATATATATGACAAATCATCATCAAACAAACACTTGCGAAACAGAAATAAAAGCAAAGTAAGATGGAAAAATGGAGATGCATCCAACTTCTAAGACAGGGAAAGATATCTAACTTCTCCAGAGTCACAAAAGGTTTACTATCAAACAAACAGACGGCAAAAGAGAATTGTTTCGAATTGACTTTCCGCTTTTAATCTTGTTTTCTTGGAACAAAATCAGCTTTTATCATCACTTCATTATAATATCATGTGCAATTAAAATTTCAAATATAAGAAAGAACGGATATAGAAAATAATTGAGAGAATGTGAGTCATGCAAGAGGAAGAAATCACGATGATCCCAGAAAAACAAACAGATATTATTTTTATCATGAGGAAACAAATAATCCTTACCAGAGAGAAGGAGATGAGATTTAGAACAAGAACTCAAATGCGCAAAGCTTCTTGACTTCACTTCACGGAAAGAGAAGGAAAGAATCCATCGTCAACTCTGAGTCAATCACAAGACTGACGAGAATACTGAAGAGGCGAAGAAAATAACCTTATAAGCTAGCAACAATGGCCTCGATCACCTCCATCGCGGAAGTTTACAGTTAAATTACTGCGACTGACACTAACACGTTTCATCATTCCATTGCTTGTCTCTGACTATTAGGCAATGCGTTTCCGCCACGTCAGTAATTGGTGCACTTGAGAATTTCGTGGGATTTGTCTCATTATGTTACGAAGTCAGATTATTTAAATTTATTAAAAGGAAAAGGCACGCTTCCGTACGGTAAGATGGGCCCATATCATATCATTTTTTTCCATTTCCTGGGACCGTAAACTTTTGCGAAACTTGCTTAGTAAGGAGTTCGTAGGAGTTATCCTCTGTGCACAATCTTATTTTTCCAAAAGATACGTCTCATCATCACCCTCCTACATAATAATAATAATTGCTATATTTATTTTTATTATTTGTGTTTATATCATTTTATATATCATTCAACACATAAGAAAGGAAAACAATTTCATTTTATAAATGCAATGAGTTTTTTAAATTTGTACTAAAAAGATTGACAAATCTCTTTTTTTTCTAAACTAGATTTTTTAAAATAATAGTAATTTATTTATTTATTTAATAAAAAATAAAGTGACATTCTCTATTATATTAATATTTTAAATTAATATTTGATGAGTATGTTTATGCACTCAAATATCTATTTCAGAAAAAAAAATCAAAATTATTTACATATTAACATAAGGATCATTATACAGAAAATACATTATTTAGTATTATTTATGAACAAATATTTTTTGTACTTGGGATTATTCAAAGAGTAAACAAATTGAGACTCACACAAGTTTTCTATTGCTTAATTCACATGAAAGAGCAAACATCCCACAAACTAGTTTTCTGATCAGAATCCAACCCACCAAGATTGAGCTTACGTTCTAATGACTTTTTGCTGCTGTTCTCCTTAATCTGGAGAAGCTTGTCGTAGACACACCATGGAAAGCTGATGAAATGCTCTCGATCCATTCCTTCATTGTAGCAACCCCAAAAGCTGGGATGGTAGGTCACATGATACCAAGCTGAAGCTTTTGCAAATAGATTGCGCACATTAGACTTTGACTCATGACTTGCTTTTTCATTGAACCAGCCTTTGACTTCTTTCTTCAATGACTTGACAGCCAAAACAACTGTTTCCAAGTCCCTTCTTCGATCAAAAGATTTCGACATTTTTATGATGCATCCACTGATCATTTCAGCCTCAGTTTTAATCCCATAGTAACGCATCAGGCTAGAAAGTTTATTATCATACTCACTTTTGTAATGGAAAGCGTCATTGACATAAGCCTTGAAGCCGTCGACTTCCATGTCAGAGTCATAGGATTGCTCTGCTACTTTCTTGGTGAATTGTTTAGCACCACTCACCCCCGTCCCCATAGCTTTCACCTCGTGGTAAAGCTGCCCAATGACACTCTCTGATTCATATGTGAATTTATCAGGCTTTTCCATGAAATCTGGATATTCATGGACACGTAGACGATGGGGTATTTTGGCAGGAACACCAGTTTTGGGGAAGTCAACTGCAATGGATGATAGCTTGGCCAGCTCAATGCATGGCTCACTCAATGCCTTAGTAGGCTCCTTATCTGCGAAGACTGTGTGGGCATTCGAAATGATCCCCAAGCTGTCATTGATTATGTAGTTCGTAAAATACTCAGCAACCTCCTGTACACCATGAAGTCGATATGTTAAAAGGTAGACAGATTGCAATTAAAATTTAACACATATAGAAGCAAACATTCCTTCCTGGCTGCTATAAATAGAGATACAGAACCCAGGAGTTTAGTAATACCTCTATAGTAACATCATGATCCAAAGAGGAACTTGATGCTGAACCATAATCCATGGGCGGAAATTGGCAGGGGGGAATCAGATCTTCATCCCAACAAACAAAGTACAAGTCGCCATCCAGATCACTTCCCGAACATTCATTTGGATGAGGTCTGTTTGATCATGTAAACAGTATCAGTGAACGAAGTGTTTTAACTATAGAAAGAAACCTGTAGATAATTGAGTGCTAAAAGGAAACATCTTATGCAATGATATGATAATTAAGTGCTAAAAGGAATTCATAATTCAAAAACATTCACAAAAGCAAATGAATATCGGGGATGGTCACACCTATTTCCTTTTTGTGGAAAAACAATGCAATCCACCATGTGATGCAAAACCACGGCATCCACAGCCTTCAGAACCCGTAGGTCTCCAGGGTGCAAACAAGGATTTTTAGCAACAGCTACTTTCCCCTCAACAACATGGCGACCATCGACTTTGAATGTTGAGAGGGAATCGTCGGAAAGTTGCCCCCTGCTAAACACAGAATACTGCACAAACACCTGACCATATTCTAAAGTCCCCGTCTCATCTAGACAGCCCATCATGGTTCTCCCATTTGGAACGAAAATCCTCGTTTTGGTCCTCAAATCTACCAATTTTGAAGCACGAATGGTTTGTAGCATCATTGACAGAAACGGTTCTGAATCTGGGGGGTAACCACACATGAGCATTCCTCTTAAACAATTGGCAAGTTCTCCATGAGATATCCACTCCATTGCCTCCCGTGCCCTTTCTGGATCCATCAAAATTGCATCCAATTCATTTAAAACCTCTGTCTGTTTCCTTTCAAAAACAGAATCCTTAACTCCAAGAGTGGACATAAGGATGATTATTTGGCGATTAAGATAACAAGGGAGACGCTTGCTCCATGACAGCACATCTAGACTAGTACTATCTGCATCGTACTTCTGCATACTCTTTCTCAATGATAATTTTACTGAAGATGTTGGATCGACAGCTACAACTCCTTTGTACCCACCATATCGAATTTGAAATGCAGATGGAGTGTGAGTTCTCAAGCCACATTTCAAGGCCACTTCCTTAGCAAGCTTTTCAGATATCTTTCCAATGCCATCAGAGAAACAATACTTACTTTCACCAGTTTCCACTTCAATGTCAGGAATGATTTTAATTTCATTCATGCTCACTTCTATAGTTTCCCTAGATGAGCTCAAAGACTGACCTAATCTGGCTGCATATTTTGCCACATTCCTTATGACATGAAAATGACCCATTGTCTCTCTGATATCTACTGCTGTAAGCCCAGGTTTTGAAGCAAACATCCAAATGGAGTTTTCTCGTAATTGACTTGTTGAACAAGCCAGAAACTCAAACTTCTTGTCTCCAATGACAATGCCCTTTATAAGAATCGACAAGATCCTGTCATAAATTCTATTGTGCTTTCCATCACTCGTAACTGATGTGCTTGAAGACAAATCTGTGGAATGCATCTTTCCTAGTTCCTCATCAACGAAAGAAACGCGAAGAAAGTTATCAATATCTTTAATGTAATTACGTAGCACACGATTTGAAAGGTTCAATTCCGGACCACAGAAGTACACCTTAGATGGTGTGACTTGAACCCTTCTCACTGCTACTAGCCCATCATTAGAGGGAAGAATGGGAGGCCTTAGAGGTCTTTCCAACTCACGGTATTTCTTATACTGCTCAGCCAGCCACTTTGCAGGTTCATAGCAATATTCTTTTAAGCTATACAATTTCTCCAAAGCATGTTCTATGAATACAATATCTATTCTACGAGGGTCAACCAACTGATAGAAATCGGCATCAAGAGTTGAAGGGAGAAGACAACCATGTTGGACCAGGGAATTTACTTTGAACAAGACACCATATGGCAAGTCAAAACCTTCAGGTGGAGTTATCATAGGAACAAGATCAGGGTTGCAAGAAAAACTACAACCATTCTCCAGAATGAAATTGTCTTCAACTTTCCTATAATAAAAACTCTCATCAAATTTTGGGAGTTTCACACCTCGAGGGAGCTCCAAACATAAAGCAAAAGTCTGACCAATGCAATGGCCCGGAGTAAAATCTACATCCCTAATCCACTGGTCATCGTCATCTTCACCAACTTCCTTAGAAGAGTTAACGATAGTTAAATCTTTCTCATAGATCCGAGGAGCACCAAGTAACTATAAATGTAAAATAAGATAGAAAGGAGCAAAATAAAATCAATAATAATCCCCCATGATGGTGGCAAAACTTAAAACTATTATACCATTTTGTAACACTAAAAATGGGGGAAAAGTCATAAATATTAAGGGGTAAAATACATGCATACTTACATACATACATACATACATACATACATACATATATATATATATACACAAACACACACATACATGCAAAGATAGAGTTGTTTAAAAAAGACTAAAACATACACTTCAAAAATTACTTAAACAAGTGAGCTAGAGAGTAAAATAAATAAATAAATTTATTTTTCTTTTATCATAAAGCATAGAACTATATTTTATATGAAAATTATTAGCAAAATAAGAATATCATAGCAATGGTTTGAGAAAATTTTTTACTCTTTTTTAACAATAATATGATATTTTTAACAATTGAAAAAATAAAAAAAAATTAAGTTAATGGGTGAAGTTCAAATTTAAAAATATTTATGGGAAAGAGACATATTTATTGGATAAATTAAGAATAGTGTGTGTGCATGGTGATCTAAGAAGACAGGGTTATCCAAGTCTCACAAGTCACAAAGCCATGCATTGTTCTTCAAATAAGAAAGAGGCTTTTGTAACATCTAGTGATAGAAAGAGAACAGGAATCAATCCAAATCAAACCAACCAATTTGCAGCATACCTGAATGATCAGAAACTTCTTAGTTTGATCCAGGGGATAGTGTAGCACAATCTGCCAAACACTGTCATCGAACAGTTCAAGCTTGTAGTCCGTCGAATTATACGATAGAAGAAAGTATAATCTGTCCAATTTGGACCCATACTTCAAGGAGACCGTATCCTTTTTCCAAAGGACAGAAAACTTTTGTCTCGAAACCTGACATCCGAAGTGCAACATCAAATTATCTATGCTGTTCAGGTTGAACTGTGGCTTCGGTGTTGGGATAATGTTGTGCTTCAGTGTCCAGGCTTTCAAATAAGAATCGTTATGCCATAGAGCTTGATCAGCAGTCCAGGCCAAGACCATGTCAGCATCTTCAGCTGTTTTGAATTGGACCTTGGCATGAGCTCTCGAGCCTTCCTTTCTGGACTGCCCAACTTTCACAGTCTCGATGGCTCCCTTCCCTATATATTCCTCTAGAAATTCCGTCACTTCTCGTTGAGACACTCCAGAAGCAAACCCAAAGAGCTTAATTGTTTTACCCATTTATTCCCTCCAATCAAATTACTTTTTACCTGCAATTCCCATGAACAGCACAAAACCAATCGTAAAAACATGATCGCAAAGCAAATCAACATGAAAAAGAGCAAGAGAGACTTACAACTTTCCAGAGATATCAGGCTCACAGCAAAAGAGATGGGAGAAAAACCAAAACGAAGAGAGAGAGACACAGAGGATATCCATTGTGGCGCCATGGAAATATAAGGAAGCACGGTTTGAGATTCTATGCTTTGCATGATTATTTTACTCCGTTTGTAAGCATCTTTTTGCTGACGTCTGAAGCTGATGTGAGGGGGAGATGACTTCAAGCTCCCACGGGGTTGCGCTCCTCAACGACGATTGACACGTTTCGACATCCTATTGGTTACCCAACCAAAATAATTTAAACAGGAATTTTATTTAATTATTATAAGAATTTATTATTTGTACAGTTTAAAACCCCACAAATAAAAATTTGACACGTGTCTATTAATTTATTAAGTTTTATGAGTATTAAACTTGTTTAAGAAAAGCATATATAGTTTAAATTGCTTTGCCAGCAAGGTTTCCATCTTAATTAGTTTAGATTTATTTATAAACACCTTGGTAATCTAAGTCTGCTGAAACTTGGGGGTATTCTTTACCTTTGGCCAGGGTGAAAGCTATGCCTCATTTTACCAAGAAGGATACAAGAGAAAAAGAAGCCACGTCTGTTTTTTCCCTGACAAGGAATTCTCTCCTTCTCAGGGGAGAAGAAGGCATATACTTTTGGTTCAAAAAGAGTGATACTTAGACGTGCTTTGAATCCTTTGATAGAATCACAATGTGATGGAATCTTGCCTTGCTACCCTTTTAAGCTTGGGGTCGATGCATAACTTGGCTTGCCATGATGAATGGAAGATACCCTTCACGCGGCAGTTTAAGTTTCCTACTATCTTTCCCTTCTGAATTCTCAAGCATTGAAAGACTGGAATTTTAGCTTTGCTTGATTACCTGAATTACTCAAATTCCCGCAAACTTGACGACAACCAAATTCAGAATACTCTTTGAATTGAAGTTCAAGTAACTTGCCAGTAGAATTTTCTTCATTGACACAATCAGTCACATTCATTGCTGATGTTCAAAGTAGCCCGTTAATAGTTTATATGATCACAACAACCTGCCTGGTAGACTAGCTCAATCACATTGACTCAATGTGTTCTTCAGGTTCTGTTAACAGCAATTGTACAGTGTTTTCACTTTTCACTATTAATTTTCTGCATTGAAATGTAAAATTGGCGAAGTAAGCGCATACATAGTCTGCAGCGATGAAGTTCTAATTTGACTACTGGAGCCGAGTGCAGCCTGATGTCCCGCAAGTAGGACTAATTTACAAGATCATGTAAACAAAATTTCCCTCCAAGAGGAGATACTAGTGCAAATAAATATACCTTCGAAGACAAAACATCAAGCACCAAGCTACAAACCTAATTTGTTTATGCTACAACAAGACATTCAAAATTTTGTTCAACCTCACCAAGATAATAAATATGTGCATTTGAAGATCAAAATAAATAAACTAGATGCCAGTGAGTTCAACTCTAATTGACTGGATGAATTTACCCAAGCAAGATCATAAGCAGATTATAACAGCAGCTCAGCAATCTGAACAGCATTAAGTGCAGCTCCCTTACGTACTTGGTCACCACAAACAAAGATGTCCAACCTATTTGAAGACTTCGTATTAGCATGCAAATCCTCTAAAAAGGGACAACTAAAAGTGCACGGAAAGAGGAATTTTACCCATGATTTCCTTCTTGAGATACATCCTGGCGAATTCTGCCAACTGCAACATCATCTTTGTTTGACACCTCCAATGGTGTAGGGAAGTGATTAGAAGCCCGATCATCAATAACTACTACTCCAGGAGCATTTTTCAAAATTTCTCTTGCTGTTTCCTGATCAACAAAACAATTAACAAAAGACAAGTTTAAAATAAAACAAAGGCTACATCTCTCATGACAAAGATGTTTTTGGGCCAGAAACAGGAAATCAGAAGACTCTTCTATATAGGAACAGATGCAGCCAAGCTTTTTACTTGTGCTGTACTTCTAACAATTAAAACACACACACACACACACAATGACATAAGCTTTGATTTAATCTTATATCTTTCATCATTCTAGTCTCTTACACTCACAACCCTTTTGAATAAAATAGCTATTATGTCTTGATGGAAAGACAACATAGAATTTAATGTAATGTATTCTTTTATTAAATTTAAGCTAACACATTCTCAGGATCCGATTGTTGAAACATCATAAAATCTATCTGTATAATATTTGAGACTCAATAAATGATTGCAATTTGAAAAAGATACCAGAGAACAAATAGTAATATAAAGTATTATATAATTCACGGTATGTTTGTGAGCACATTCTCTCTTTAAGATCAATAGCAATAAAACATCTTTCCAAGTTCTCTTAAGATAGCATGAAATAAGATTTAGGATAAACAAGCTCTAAAAAAAGTATATCAACCTCAGATAAATTGCCATTGGCTAGCCAAAAATGAATTGGCATTGTTTTTAAAACAGGAAAACTCTGATTTTGGTTTCTAGTTTGAAAATATGATGCTCTTATTTCTGCTGCAGTCTGCTCCATTTTCTCCACTATTGACCACTATGATTAGGGATGATATAAATTTGGGGTCCTAGGCTGCTTTACTAGTATTGTACTACATATAACATATTTGACAACATTGTCCTCAATAATGTGACTTGAATGTATGACGTCTCTTCCATTTCTAATTTTCTTTGTTCTATTCATATAAATTAGAACAAAATCTGAATTTAAACCTAACCCACTCTTTACATCTTCCATCCCCAGAGATAAAAATGATGAAAGGAAAAGGGGGGAAAAAACTCACAACTACAAGTACAATCAGCTAAAAATATTACTAAAAAGAGCTTAAAATGACAAAAGACGAATGTAATGCATGTAAATGTCCTAGATCTAGCAATAATGGCAGAAGAAGGCAAATGTTTGTGACTTGTTCTTCAATTTATTTCATATATTGATGATGAAATTGTAAATTCACAAAATTACAAAACATTACCTCATCAAGGGGCTTCTCAAACTGAAGATTCACACTCTCAGCATGTGCACGCATCACAGGAACTCGTATGCATGTGGCAGTCACTTTGACATTCACGTCGTTCTGAGATAAGGGGAAGGACAATCATGTAAGACAAAACATGTTTCTATTACAAATCTCATTCTCCGGAAAGTTCAAAGGAAAATGATATATTAGATGATTTAATATATCAGAACCCTTTAACTACTTACCCAGATTTTCCTTGTCTCTTTTACCATTTTCATTTCCTCTTCATTATATCCATTCTCAAGAACAGGGGCATTATGTGAGAACAAATTAAAAGCATACTGCAAAAGCAAAAGGAACAAAAGAAAATTATAATAAACTTGGTGAGATCAAAAGATATTCATAAATTTATGGACACTGTAAAAGAAATATACATACTTGTTGGTTAAAGATATTACGAGTTGGTGGTTTCCCTTCCAGGACCTAAAAACAAATGCAGCAAGAAATTGATTTAAAAGAAAAAATGAGTCAAATGCTCAGATAGACAAGTAAACAATAAAATAAAAAAGAGGGAAAAAAAAACTCCATCAAATAACCTCACGGGTTTGTAGCTCAAGCTCATGCATGGCAGCAGCACCAGCACCACTAGCTGCCTGATATGTACTAACCACCATACGGGTCACCTTAAACATGGCATGAACAAAATCAATGCTTGAATCATACATTGTCAGGCAAGCATCAGATATTTAAGTTGCTTGATGCAGCATAGGAAAAACTTAGGCAGTGAAAATGGCAAAAGCTCAAAACAAGGAACAATTGACATCCTGCCTTAAAGATTCAAAATACATTTTTTTCCTTTCTTAGTATCTCATTAAAGTTTCAGTTAAAATTAATCCACTATAAAATGCAAACAACCTAAATCATTATATCATACTAATTAAAACTCTAATAGTTCATTTCTTGCCTAGTAGCTTTTACAAGCAATCAATTATTCATCTTACTTCAAACTTGCTATGACTTCAATTTGTTACCTATTAGTTTTGCCAAACAATCCCTTCATTCCTGTTTCTATTTTACTTTGCTTTATATTGCACTTCTGCAAGAGAAACAACCCAATCTAAAGTAAATGGCTAAAGATTGTTACATGTGGGAATATCATATAAGGGCTATAGACTGTTTCCATAACAATACATTTTGTACTCTCCATTACTTGAGCACTTTAAAACACCATCCATCTAATAAACCCAAATGCAGCATCAAACCATTGATGCAAAAACAATTTCTACATAAGGCTTAGTCTACCAATCAAAAATTTTCAGTATACATAAAGTTAATAACCCCAAATGATTGAAACTTCATCTTTTACCTTAGCACGGCGATGAAGAGGGGTAGCAGCCATTAAGCAAATGATAGTAGAACAATTCGGATTCGCTATCAAAGCACCCTTTTTCATCCCAACTTTAATCCCATCCATTGCTTCCGGATTCACTTCAGGAATCACTAAAGGCACTCCATCAACCATTCGAAACGCCGAGCTGTTATCCACCACAATGGCACCTTTCTCAACCGCAATGGGACCGAATTCTTTGCTTATCGACCCACCAGCACTAAAGAGTGCGATGTCGACGTCGTCAAAGCTGTCGGCGGTGAGTTCCTGGACAGTCAAGGTGCGGTCGTGGAAGGTAACGGATTTGCCAGCGGAGCGTTTGGAGGCGAGGAGCTTGAGGGAGCGGTAAGGGAAGTCGCGATCAGAGAGGACGGAGAGGAATTCTTGGCCGACGGCGCCAGTGACGCCTACGACGGCTACGGAAGGGCCCGATTCTTGGAAGGACATGCGTACTTTGGTAGGAAATTTGCTGGTTTGGCGTTTGGGTTTTGGGGTGGAAAGGAGATGGGGTTTGAGAGGGTGGCTGAGAAAGGCCATTGTGAAGACTGAAGACTAAAGAGTGGTGGGGTTTAAGCTTCAAGGAGAGAAGGGGTTTAGCCTTTGAGGAAAAGCAGAGCAAGGGGTAGTGCTGGCGGCTGACTGCTCCTCCTTTTAAATTTTGTGTGCGCTGAAAGCTGAATAAGTGAATAAAGATGACGGGAAAGGTTTCAACTTCGATGGTTTTGGACTCATAGAAGTCGGACCAATGTTGTCCTTGGAGGGCCGTATAATACATTATGTACAATACATTATACGCATTATATATGATATAATATGATATTAATAAAAAAATTATATATACTTTTGATCAAATATCGAAAACATATTTACAATACATGAACATATCTACATTTTTTATAAACTTAATTGAAATTTAACTTTTAATTATATTGAAATGGTTATATTTTATATTAGTAATAACACTTTTATACATAAAGATTTTTTATTTATAACGTATTAATTTTCTTTTATTTTATAAATCGTATCGTACTTATATCAATATAAAATTTTTTATATCTTCAAATTATTTGAGATAAAATTTCAAAGTTTAACAAAGAAGATATCTCATCAGGGATAATAATTATTTTTCTAAGTTCATTGTTATTTTAACTTTGTAGACTGAAATTAACCTCTTATTGAAATCTTCAAATTTTAGATATTTTAAATTATTCAAAAGATTTATATGAAAATATTTGAATTTATAATATGATGTATTTTTATTTTTAATTCAATTTTTTCATATTCAATATAACAGTATAAAAAAGTTGAAAGATTAATCCTTTCAGTAAAAACTAAGGACGAATATGTTTTTCTATCTTTTATAAAATCAATTTTAAAAAATAAAACTACCTATTTTTTCTTTTCACAAAACTTATTTTCTTTCAAAATATAACCTTTTTTTCCTCTTTTTAAAACACTATTTTTTTTACCTCTTTCACCCACATAATGGGTGTACCAAATTCTAGTAATTTTTATATGTTAAAGCTATAGTAATTATAATTATAGTAAAAGCTCATGAAATTAAGTGTTTAATATCTTATGTAAAAGCTAAAATGATATTTTAGAGTTTAAAAGAATTTAAAACACTTAATAAGAATGTCCTTTCAAAAATTTGATTTATGTTATGAATATTTTTGTGAATATCCATTTA